CCCCCATGGATCAAGATGTGCAACGACAGGCTCCGGGCCTAGTGCTGCCGCCGACCATGGGAGAGATGGGCCCTGAAATCTTGGCCATGTACGAGGCGCAGCAAGCCAATTTGGCTATGCAGGCCACGCGCCAGCGCCGACATCCTGGAGCGTCAGATGTGCATCAGGCCATCGGCAACGCCGTCCATCATCAGTGACGGCGACTTCAGTAAGTGTGCCATATGCCTGGACCTGTTCATGAATCACGACAAGGTCTGGCGCCTCCAGTGCGGCCACATATTCCACGCGCGATGCTGGGATCGAGCGGTACATGCCCATGTGGATAGACAGTTGGCTGGGAACATGGAAGGTTCCGCAAGTGGGACCCCCCTGCGCTATATGCAGGGGTGTTGGCCTCATTACTGCAGAATTCCACTACGCCCTTGCTGGAGATCAAGAGTCACTCAATCGCCATGAAGACATACTCCGAAGGGGCGAACGAGCTCAGGGATCTCCGTGAAGAGCTCAATCGCGTTACGGCCATGATGACGAGCACTGCAGCCATCTCGATGACGACACCAGCGGGGCTACCGGGGCTAGTAACGGAGACAACCACACTCGCAGGGGCACCTGCTATTGACATGCCTATGCCACTGGTGGCAGGGACCAACAGTAATGCGGGGGTACCCGCAAGATCGGCTCCACCTTCTGTACCAGTGAACGATATGTGGTTGAGGCGCATGGGAAGGGCCGCCGACAGAGGCGCTCAATGGCTTCAGTCTTCGTACTCATATATGCCGTATGGGCGAGACCTTCGTCCACGCAGTCAGCGAAGGACGGGGGGCCTTGTTGGCATGCGCAGTGGCAACAGTGGGATATCCGAACGCGACATGCTGCACGCGGTACTTATGATAATTACTGATGGTCAGATGGGCATTCGCGCGGAAGAGGACGCGTTTCTGATTTTACCCACTACCTCCATTTCACAACCATATATGTATGTCGAATACCCTACAGCCTGGATCTTTGAGAAGAATCCCATTACAGAAGAAGAGGTTCGTGGGTATATGAATGTTTTCACATCTTTGTCGGGAGATGATTGAGTGTTGGGCGCCGTCAAGGCTTGCATGGTACGACCGTATCTGAAGTTCCTGGAAAATTTGGTGAACGCCATGAGCTAGCCTTGGCAGCTAACAGTGGAACTATGATCAATGGTCTGTTGATTATTCTTTCGGAAATTGGCAGTAATATCAATATTATTGGACTAAAGACGGCGCAGACTTTTGAGCAGGTATCATGCTCCTACGGACACGCTAATACAAGGTTGAACCTCAGGAAGAGGCCTTACGTGTCTGGAGCGGGACATGGCGCCGCAATCTGCGACAAATCCCTGCACTGCAAGATTGCGTGCGAAGGGAGGGGAGATCATGCGGGGCAACCTGCCGCGCCGAGACTTGATGCGTACTTAGCAAATGGCTGAGGGCTCTGGGGGGAACCTCCCTGCCATCTTGGGTCTGAGGCGCATGTCCAACATGGGGGCCATCCGGATCCTTGAGCAGGGGCGCGAGAAGATGATCATCCCTGGCGTGGAGATGTACAAGGTTCTATTCGGAAAAGGTGCCAGGGTACATGACCTGATGAGGACGCCCTCTGGGCATCTGGCAGTCAAAGCTGGCGAGTGCGAGACGGCTACCGAGGATCAAGGGTCAATGGCGTTTACTATCACGGCCAAACCTCAGTGCGAAGAAGCTCCATTACTCGTCAAGGAAGCATCTGATCCAGAGCCAATTGCGGGGGCACCTGCTGTGCATAACGCTCGCGCAAAAATGATGTCACAGGATACGAAGGGCATCAGTTTCTCTATTGATGAGGAGACGTTCGCTTTCACGATCCAGTCTTTGGTGAGTAACACCTGGAAGACATGGCATCATAGAAATGTGTCCTTTGGCACTGCCCCTATCTCGGCCGACAAGGACTTCGCCCCCCGCAATTTGCAGGCGAATATCAGGCCATCTACGAGGAGGGTAAGAAGTGGACGCCTCCTGATGCACAGGCAGGGACACCTGCAGAAGTGAATGATGCTGCTGAGAAGTTTGATATTTTTACTTCGAGCAGCTGTTCTGCAGCGCAGCACGGCACTGGTATTTGGACGCCCACATCGCCAAACGAGTGACGGGGGCAGGCGCGCGCCACGGCCACTCGCGCTTGCTCGGACAGGCCGAACACTCAGGTGCTGTCAGCAAGCGCGGGGAAACCTGCATTCTTTTCCCAGGCGCCGGCTGTGCGTGCCAGGGGCCGTGGCAAGCCCGGCTGCGCGGCTGCCGCGAACAGCAGTGGACCCGGCTGTGTGGCCGCTGCAGAAAAAGAAGGTTTGTCGCATCATTATCATTCTCGTGCATTCGTCAGTGAGGATATGCGTTATGTGGATTACAACCATTAGAAAACAGCATTACTTGTGAGGCTGGGATGTCCCTCCCCGTAATGTCCCCGCCCCCATATAATATTCCCCCGATAAGTTCCCGCGCTATATAATTGCCACGCGATATAATTACCTGGCGATATGATTACGAGCCTATACCATTTCACACCGATATATATATATATATATATATTAATATAATATATATATACGTATACATACACATTGCATGCCGATATATATATATATATATATGGTTATAACTTATATACAAATATATAATTATATATACATATGTAATTGTATATATATATGATTGAAACACACGAACTCCTATACGGCGGTTCTCCGCTCATATGCTCGAAAAGGTTATAGGCATGGAATTAAAAACCAAAGAAACCAGACACAGCAGAATAACAAGACTAACCATAATATTCAGAATATGTGTTTGTTGTTTGTTATTCTGTTGGTTTTTCTGGTTCCGCGCGGCTCAACCAGAAAAACCAGAACAACCATATTCTGGTGATTCTGGGTTTTCTGGTTATTCGAGTGTAGCCCCCCCCAAAACTGTGCAATCAATCCCTGGCGTGTTCCAGATTGCCACCGAACTCTGAAGTGCCAACCGCAAGCGCAATCACGAATCGCATCCATGAAAACTTGAACATAACTGGTAAACCCAAAAACAGACATCCTCGTCGAACGACTCTCCTCTTAAAAGGAAGAACAACATTTATATAGAGTACCGCCCAACCACAAGATGCTACCGAATAGGTTCCAGTGCGACACGTCAAACCCTGCACACGCCTATGCAAATGCACAACCGCCTTCCCAAGAGAAGACATGCACTTCGGATCAAATAGCCCAGGAATGCCCCACCGAAAAACTACTGCACCTTTTTTTCCCTCCGCGCGACGACGGCGGCACGGCGACGGCGACGGCAACTGCGACGGGTGGAGAGAGGAGGGAGGAGGGAGGAGGGAGAAGGGAGGAGGGAGGAGGGAGGAGGGAAGAGGGAGGACGGAGGAGGGAGGAGGAGGGAAGGAGGGAGGGAGGAGGGAGGGAGGAGTGGGAGGAGGGAGGGAATAGGAGGGAGGAGGAGGGAGGAGGGAGGAGGAGGGAGAAGGAGGTAGGAGGAGGAGGGAGGAGGGAGGAGGAGGGAGAGGGAGGAGGGAGGAGGGAGGAGGGAGGAGGGAGGAGGGGGGAGGAGGAGGAGGAGGAGGAGGAGGAGGAGGAGGAGGAGGAGGAGGAGGAGGAGGAATAGGAGGAGCAGGTTTCGCGTGGGATCTGGGGTTCATTGCGCATGGGGCTCCCATGGGTTTGGGGATTCGTATGGGTTTTTCATTGAGGTGTTTAGGCGTAGGAGTTTGTGCGGGGTCCTTGACAAGAAGCCTTCGAATTTCTTTGGGGTCCGTATGGGCGGGCCATCAACGTTCATAGATAAGAGTCTTGAGGAGTTCGTGGGGTCCATGAGGTTCCCTGGAGCCAACAAGAGCCCGTGGGTGCCATTAAGGGCTCAATAGAATCCACAGGAGCCTGAAAGAACCCATAAGCGCCCTTGGCCTCCCTCCTGAGCCGGCACGCTTTTGGCGTGTCTCGCGTTGTCCTTGGCACGCATTTGGCGTGTCTGCAGGCGCGCGTTTGGCGCGTCTGCCGGCGCGCGCTCGGCGTGTCGACTCTCGAGAGTTCTTGCACGCATTTGGCGTGTCTGCCCCACGCGACAAAACCTACGCAAGGCTCAGTGTCAAACTCTGGCGTCCCATTGAGGCCCTCTCAGGGCACCCAGGGGGGGCACTTCGAATAAGTGACCAAAGAAGGTTCTCTTGAGGTACTGTCAGGGTCACCTAGTCTGGGGCCCGTTTTAGCTTGCTCGTCTGGCCTCGTCGTCGTCCGTAGCCACCACGGGCTCTAAGAGGTTTTGTGGGACCTGCGCTTGGAGATTACCCTTAATTCTTAATTCAATTACTCCGTCTCCCACTCCATCTCTGTATATCTGCAGAAGTTCGTGCTACTCCTTATGCTACTCGGGTCTTTATCTGCCGCCATCCTCAACCCTCAGAGCTCAGTATGTTTCAGGCCGACCTCGCACCCATATCGACTCCGCTGGCAATGATCCCGAGAGCTCGCTACCCTTGCATTGCAAGTTGGCTATGCTAGGCTATGCGATGCTGTGTTCAGTAGTCCAAGTGGCAACTCAAGCGAGGCTGGTCACACCCGCAAAGAGACTGATCCATCGACCGACCTTTTTCTCAGGCACGAGCGTCTTCATGCTTCCTGAACCTAAGCCTACACGAATGAGGCTCACTTACAGGATACGTGAGTACGGTGTGTGGATGCGTGAGTTCGTAGAGATCATTTTGGCCGACTGACATAGTGGGCCTCTAGGAGGAGTGATCTAGAGAGCAGGCGCGACAACGTATTTTTTAGAAGGGAGAAGGGCTGATGGAGGAGAAGGGGGGAGATGATGTAAACAACAGAGGCATACGGTAAGACCTAAGTGCACAGAGAAACAGAGAGAGAGAGGGGGAAAGAGAGAGAGAGATATGGAAGCCATAGCCACTGAGTCCTTTGATAGTCTGTCCCAGTTGCACCGTGGCCATGCACGATGGACATCGATCAGATGATGGCTGCAGTGGCAAATGAGGAGCCAGCCGGTCCGAACAACGTCCGAGGCTCGGCGATGGCGAGAAGCCACGCGCGGATGATGCGGGCTCACCGCGGCCGCGGAGAGGGAGTTTCAGAGGTGGTGCAGGATTTCCAACTTCTCCTCCTTCTCCTCCTCCTCCTCCTCCTCCTCAGCACGTGTAACAGGGGGTCGTCTGGGACTGCGCGCGGACCGTCGGTCCCCAGGGGGTCGGCGGGGACTGCGCGCGGGACCGTCGGCTCCCTTGGGGGTCGGCTGGGACTGTGCGCGGGGCCGTCGGCTCTCTTGGGGTCGACTGGGGCTGCGCGCTGACCGGGGGCTCTTCGTGGCCGCGGCTGGACGCTGCTCCGAAGACGGGCCGATTAATCAAATTAAGGTTACCTCAAGTAAGCTTAATTACTGTGCAATTAATGTGCCGGCTCAGGGCACAGGTAACTTACCTGTGCCCTGAGCCGGCACATTAATTGCACTATCGCTGTAGTGGAGCATCCTTCCTTGTTTCGTTCAGTGTTCAGACTATCTCTCTGCTCTTGTGATTTTCTCCAGGAGCAGATCGAGCGGGTAAATCTCCGTGCCTCCCACGATTCAGACATCATAGACATTAGATTGAAGAAGCCCAAACGAATCAAGGGCACTGGGCGGTACCAAGCCTACACGCCAGCAGCCATGCTGCGCATGACCTTCGGCTTGCGCATCTTCGATCCCCCTTCAAGGACTGTTGGAATGAGAAACGATCGAAGTCTCTCGGGGTTGGTGAAATACCTGATGGCCTTCGGCCCATTCCGCCACCGTGCCTGCGTCGTGGGTCAGAAATCTCAGGGATGCTTCTTGGGGTCTCTTCGGAGCGCTCTCAGGGGCCTGTTGGGGTCAGTTTTGGAGCCACTTGGGGACCTTCTGGGGCCTCTCGGGGGTCTCTTGGGGCATAGCGGTGGCCTCTCAGGACCTCCTGGGGTTCTCTATCGGGGGTTTCTTTTTTGGGCGTTCTCTATCGGGCGTTGTGAAACGACAGTGCACCTCACTTCAGTGTTGGAGCTGAGGTAAGGCAAAGACGAAAGGTATCGAATGGCCTTCGGCACGTTCCGCCACCGTGCCTTCGTTGTGGGTCTGAGTTCTCAGGGGTGCTTCTTGGGGTCTCGTCGGAACCCTCTCGGGCGCTCTCGGGGACCTCTTAGGGCCAATTTTGTTGGCTCCTCCGTTTTCCCTCCTCCTCCTAGGGGGAGGGGGAAAAATGCGGTCGAGTCCCCCTCCCGTTTTACCTCCTCCTGGAGGAGGTAAAACGTGGTCAAGTCCCCATCCGTTTTTCCTCTTCCTCCTTGTATGAGGAGGAGGAAAAACGTGGTCAAGTCCCCCTCTGTTTTTCCTCCTCCTCCTCCTCCTCATCCTCCTCCTCATCCTCCCAGGTCATGGATCCCTACTGGGAGCCTCTTACAGCATCTTGGGGGCCTCTGGGGGCCTCTTGAAGCCTCCTGGGGGCCCTTCGGGGCCGAAGGCTCGAAAGGTCCGCTCGGATCTCCCACCTGGGCCCCATCTTGGAGCCGTCATTGGGCCTCTTAGGCCGTCTTGGGCGCCTCTTGGGCCGGGTTGGGGACCTCTTTGGCTGTTTCGGGGCCCTCTTGGAAGCTCCTTGGACAGTCTTGGGGAGATATTGAAAGCCTCTTGGGCCATCTTGGTGCGCCAGGGAACCGAAGTGACGAGAACGCCGTCAAAAAACCATCGACAAACATGTGGAACATCAATGAATTTGGCCACTTGGGGCCCTCTTGGGACGCCTCTTAGAGCGCTCCTGGGGCGGCTTGGTGGCCTCTTGGGCCGCGTTGAGGCCATCTTGGGCGTGTTAGGGCGATCTTTCGGTGACTCGGGGCCCTCTTGGGGCCGTCTTCAGAGCCTCTGGGGGCCCTTTGGGCCCGCCATGGGGCCATCGTGGGCCCGAACAAGCCACGCGAGGACGCTTCCCAGAACCCTCGGGGGCACGCGCCAAGCACTTGGAGGGCGCAGAATTTGGGGTCAAGGCCACTCCGTGCCCAGCGGTGCGGTGGCAGGCCCATAGGGATCTATGAAGCAGCGTTTGATGTAGCCACTCCACTTGCAGGAAGCGCCTATTTGCTGCTGGCTCGTCGAGACTACCCCAGCCTGCTGCGTCGGCGTCAACCAGAACGGTGGCTCAGTTCTTCGCAGGAGGTCATTTTCAAGTCCAGATCGTGCGAGATGCAATTGCGGAACACGTTCGAGCAGTTGAAACCAGAACGCTGCGAGACGGAAGCAATCTCATCGAGCATCGCATTGTTCAATTGGCAGTGGATGAAACGGAAATGACTCTTTACATGGGGAAATCGCGTGGCCAAGAGGTGATGTCAGTGATGATGTGCCACGTTCGGGTGCTCGACCGGTACGCTGACAACTCCCACGTTGTGCGGGAGGTCGCCATGCCGCCGGCGGTGATCGCCGACACTACCACGGAGACATTGCGAGCAGCTGTAGATAAACGGGTTGGTCACTTACTGGAAGGAGTAGACTTGGCGAAAACTGTATTTGTACTAAACTCAGACAGGGCAAAGTCACTACTTAAGTTAGGTATGCACTGGGGTGAATCAGCCAAGGCTTCTTGCGCTGCATCTGCTGGTGATTTGGGCTTTGGGTTTCTGCATGGCAGCTGTATGATGCACATGCTCTTCGCAGCTTGGGTGCATGCGATGGGGCCCTTGAATCTGGCCTCGCCTTTGTATTGTGCATCGGTGCTGTTGAGGCGCTCCCTGAACATGAAAGCTTTGCGCAAACATGTCAAGCAGATGTGCCGGCGTGTGCGTCGAGTATATGACCCTGCCCCTCCAGACAATCATCGATCGAATGTCGGGATGGTCCGCATGCTTGACTGGGCTGACCAATATTTTGAGAGCGCGAACGGGGATCAAGGTGATGATGAGCAGTTCGGTCGGGCAGCACAAAGGCGATACGACATGAGACGACGCCTGCTATTGGCATGTCCTGGCAAATGGGATGATAGAACAGACTTTATTCATTTTTGCGATTTCAGCGTTGGCTGCAACTGCGCATCTGATGAAGATGCTGCTGAGTTTGTCTACAATTTGCTTGACGAAGTGCTCCTATCGGTTCGTCCCGCCATACCAGCTCTGAACCGATGGAACAAATTGTACGGCCCAATCGCATGGTGGGGCTTCGCCATCAACTTCCACCACATTGTCTCAGATGCGATGATCCAAGCAAAAGAAGATATAGCAGACCCATCGGACCCCATGAACGTGATCGGCGAGATTGACATTGGCGGGCCAGAGGGCGAGAACCTTTATAAAGTTGTGAAGCATGCCCGTTGGAAGAAGACATCTGAGTGGCTGGCAAAACCTGCAACTTTGTTGGGCCTAAAGTGCGCTGGGCTTGCCATGAACCCTGCTTTGAAACTCATGGGAAAAAGCTTCAAAGGCGCAAGGATGGGAGTTTCCGAGGACATCATCCCATACGTCGTCACAGTGGCTTCGCCTGCTGTGTCGACGCTGCGCCAGCTACAGCATCACATGCAACATATGGACGATGACTTTTGGGCTGCATTGGCGTTCGCTGGCCACTGGGAGTCTAATACCATGCACACGTTTGGCACTCTGGCACTCCAATTTCTTGCGGGCTTAACTTTGAGATGCGTATTTCCATTTGAAGACTGGCCGTGGCCGCTTGCGCGCTTGTGCTCCCCGCTCACGGATGCAGCAGAGAAGGGCAGACTCGACGCTCAAATCAGGAATATTCAACCTTGTTGTGTGCCGCCAGCAGACGGCATCACTCTCTTGTATAAGAAACGGTTAGAGGCTGGTCGACCTCAGGCTGATAACGTACGCTTCCTTAAAGACATCTTTGGCCTTTGCATGAATTCCAACATCCAAACAGAGGACCGTTTCGCGAGATGCCGCAAATTTTCACAGACTTGTTCGGGGAAGGCGTTTTGCCCTTCAACCTTAGGCTCGAATCATTTTAACAGCGAGTTTGCAGCCATGCATCGATTGGCAGTTGAAAAATTTCGGAACGACGCGGCTGCTGCCGCCCCGCCTCCGCGCGCTGTTGGGCATCAACCTGTTGAACATAGATATCGCAGATTTGTTTCAGCCAGACGCCGGGGCCAGCGCGGCGTCTCTCTCGAATCTATAGCGGCAGAGTGGCGGGACTTGTCAGAAGAAGAACGTCAATCGTGGGTTGATCGTCGCGTTGGCGAGGATGTTCCGCTGCTTCGCCGGCCCCCTCAACGCCCCGAGCTTCCCCCAATGGATAATGAACTCACTCCTTTTGCATTGGGTGACGCACGCAGTCCGCTTCGGCAAGATATCGTAGACACATTTCGGTACGAGGTCAAACAATTGGCGGAGACTTGGCGTGGAGATGTCGGAATCGAGATTCAGCCTGGCCAAGCAGCGGTCATGCGTCCTGGTGGGCCAGGTTGTTGCAGAAAGTATGGGCGTGGTTACTGCGAGGACAGGCTGAGCCCCGATCAGATAGCAGCATTTGGCCTCAAATCGGATTTGCTTCGCAGGTTGACGAGCTACTCTCCGACCATGGACATGCCAGTCGGTTGCGCAAGCTCAGATTGTCTTCCCCTTTTTTTACTGTATCCTCAGCATGCTGAACGCAGAGATCCCATGCTACTGCTACGCGCAGTTCGGCTGCTCAATCCAATAGTTCCTGTCATGATGAAGTGTGTGTGTGATGATGTGGTGCCTGGTGCGCACGTGCATATTCCGATGGTTGGGGAGAGAGCCTTCTGTGACCATCGGAAGCTCGTTCACGATCTAGTGGATATGTCTGCGGGGCAGGACTATGACTGCTACATCGTGAACTACAAGTTCATACAGCTCGACGTGCTAGAAGTGATCGGCATCGAGGCTATCAACAACATACTCTACGCTCGAGTTGCTCGGGTCGTTGGCCCGCTGGCGAAGGTCTCGGGCACAATCAAGCTGACTTCTACTCAGCTTTCTACATCCTCTCTCGCCCATCGTGGCATCCTATTCCTACTCCTCGGTTTCCCCTCCTCCACCTCCTCCTCCTCCTCGCCATCTCCTCATCTGTTACCTGTTCCCCATCATTACTCTATTATCGCTACCGCTACCACTGCCCCAAATAATTGCTGTTGTTGCTCATTACTTCAACGACTACTGCTACTACTTGGTTCAAGGTTCACAGGATAAAACCCAAGGCCCTACCAGTTGTTCGATGTCTCGGTCCTTCTGGCGCCCCTCTCGAGGGCGGGCCCCCTGTGGAGGCCTCGTGGAGATCTCCTGAGGCATATGCGATGCCCCGAGCGGCTATTGCAGGTCATATTGGGGCCTCTCGGGCCACCACCCAGAGCCACCCCCCAGGGCCTCTCTAGGATTTCAAGGGTCCCAGTAGACCCCCCAGACTGCCCCAGGTGGCCCCGGCGCGCAACAAGAAATCATATAGAGTTCGGTTCTCCGTCGGACTTCGTGGGCGCCTCCCAGAACAAATAATAATGTGTTTTGTGCGCGGCTCCTTGGGAGGCCATCTTTTTTTTTCTCCCCCATTCTATGCGATGCCGAATGTTGTCGCTCGAACTTGCCGACTCCTTGGGAGGCCATCCTGGGGCTCCTTGGGCCCCCCCCAACTTGGGCGGGAACCTAGCTATTGTTTCAGGTCATGAAGTTGCTCGAGCGTGGGCCTGTGAAACCTCCACATAGGGGGCGAGGACGCGGGCGCGCTCGAGGGCGTGGCCGAGCGGGCGGGCGCGGCGATCCCCTTGACGGCGATGAAGACGAGGGAGGCGATCCTCCTGGTGACGGCGACGGCTCTCCAGGTGACGATCTTCCAGGTGGATGTGATCATCCTGACGACGGTGGCGGAGGAGCCGGAGGAGGCGGCGGAGGAGACGGACCCCACGGAGGAGGCGGCGGCGGTGGAGGCGGCGTCGCGGGCGGAGGAGATCCAGGGGGTGGAGGTGTCCACCAGATGGATATTGATATTGATGACGCTTTGGGCCCAGGGCCGCCAGATGATGTAGTCGGGCACTTATTGGACGCAAACCTTCCACTTTACGACCCAGTCACGCACAAAGTGTTTTATCGTGGACCGCCCGAGAGAATTCTCGGCAGCATCAAACCTATGCATGTAGGCACCACCCAAGAGTGCCAATCCATATATTGTAGAATGCACCAGTGCAAGCCGCCTCTTCAGCGGACGAAGGACGCATATAGCATTGAGCAGGTTCGGCGATGGTTTCAAGCTGGGGAAGAGTTGCCAGGTGGCATCCCTGGAAGGCCTCAGCACATCAAGTTGTTCAGGGACATTCGCAAGGGCGAAGGCCCTTGAATGAAACTTCGCCTAAATTAGATGCAACGTGTATCGTATCACATGGTACACCATGCACATTTCTTCCTCTCCTCCATTGTCCATCCACCTCCTCCCTCCTCTCTTCCCTCGCCACTTGCTCCTACGTATGTTCTCGTGCTCCTCCTCACTCCGGCTTCCTCCCTCGTTCCTTCTCCCTCCCGAGACGTTCGGCTCGTCTTGACTTCCTCATCATTACACGCCCTTCCTCCCCCATATCTGCTGAATCGCTGAGTCGCGCCTTTGCGGCTGCCCAACATTCTCGTGTAGTGCAATGCCTTGCAACGTTCTCAGATGGCGGCTTTCGCGCAGAGGTGCCGAACCTCTTGTGGCACTGGCTGTTGCTTGTGTGATGCTTGCGTGTCACAACAAACTCGTTTCCCAACTTCTCGATTGCAAGTGCGGTCGTGGTTTTTCGTGTTGTGGAGAGCAAGTCCCGAGTGGCTTGAGAGCGGGAGTACCGGACCAATCGTTCACCTCCTGGGAACGCATCTGTCAAGTAAGCGCCTCGTGGTGCCCTCCCGCCCATGCGACCGCTGGCCCGCATGTGTTGTTTCCGGTTTCATGTCTTGTAGGGTGATCGTGCCCCCGCCCCCCTTGCCTCGGCCGTTCGCAGCTCCGAAGACTGGTCAGGACGTCGATCGGGCGGCGTCCGATTCGAGGCGGAGTTTGGCCGAGAGGTGGACAAGGATCAGGAGGAGGATGAGGTTGAGTAGGAGAAGGAGGAGGAGGAGGAAGATGGCGGTGCCAGGAGTGTTGGCAGTGACTGGCGCTTGTAGCTTCTAGCTTACAGAGTAGCTTACAGCCTATGAAATGAACAAATGCAAAATACTAAATACTAAATACTATGTTTTAGTTTCAACTCAACTGTATCCGAGCCTATGTCAGCCGGCCGTACAATTGGCTGGCTCAATAGATGTCAGTATCGGTCCTCGGTTCTCGGTTCAGAACCGAGAGCCGAGACTGAGCTTGACATCCTAGCCTTCAACAAAACCCTTCAAGTTAGTGGCGGTGTTAGTCCTATCGGGTAAACGCAGCACGGCCGTTGGCAGCAGGTCAACGGCAAATAGGGATGTTGTACGAAGCTACATAGGATCAAGAGTCTTCGCCTTCCGCCCATTTCCGATTCCCGTGAGTCACGCCTCAGCGTTCGTGCTCGCATGTCTCGCTCGCGCTCACGTTCGCCAGCTGGGTCTGAGGAGGCACTGTCAGAGGACCTTCCACCCACGCAAGAGTCGGTTCACAAGGACATCTTCGGCTGCGGCTCGGAGATCGACGAGGAGGCCGAGGAGATTCCCGACGGCGCGATCCCGTCGAACGACGCAGCGGTCAAGGAGGCCACATGGAATTCAGATACTCTTACACATCCATCACCCACCGATACTCTGTGACTTCCTTACCTGCTCCCTCTTCCGCCGCCTCCCCGGTAGTAATGCATTTTGGCAGGGATTCCCCAGCATGAAAACTCATATCTCTTTGATGGCCACTCCCCGCCGCCCGCGCACCCGTCATGTCATCGATATTGGCTCCTGGGGCTGAGCACGCGCAGAGAGTGTTGCAAAACAGAATACGAAACGCCAACATTGAGTGGGGGAGATGTTTGCCCAAAGTGGCACATGTCTTCCCCCCTCAATTTTGGCGTTTCGCATTGTATTTTACAACACTTTCTGCGTGTGCTCAGCCCCAAGAGCCAATATCAATATCGATGACATGACGGGTTGGCGGACGGCGAAGGGGGAGCGCCCCCCTTTCCTCCTCGAGGATGAGGAAGAGGAGAAAGAGGAGGAGGAGGAGTACGAGGAGAAGGAGGAGGTAACGAAGGAGGAGGACGAGGAGGACGAGGAGGAGGAACGGAGAGTAGGAGGAGGAGGAGGAGGAGGAGGAGGAGGAGGAGGAGGAGGTGGAACAGAAGAGGAGGAGGAGGAGGAGGAGGAGAACGATGACGGAGCGAAATGAAAGGATGGGGTAACGAAAGGAGGAGAAAACGCCGACTCAGGCGCCCAGCGCCATGCCGGAGACCGTCTACGGTGTCGTCTTGGCCAACACCAAGAAGATAAGCGTGGTGCTCACCGAAGAAGGCCACTCTTCTCTTCCACTGGGCCCCCAATCGTGTCGAGACCCTTGGCTCCCTCCCAGGGGTTCCTTAGCAAGGCAGCCCATCAAACGCCTAGGAGTACTTAGCGGTGCGCATCGCGTAGTCATAGTGATAGATATTCGAGATTACGTCGTGATTAAAGGGCCGTGATGTGGCATGATATAGTTAACGTGCCTTGCAAAGTGTTGACTTGCATTGCTAGTTACCCTGAACGCACAGCTCAGCATCTAACCAAGAAAACGCGCCAAGTATTCGGCCTCTTAGCGCGAGGGATTGCATTACCCAAGCCCCCCCACACAGGCAAGCTCCTGTGCGACGTCTCGGCGTTGACCAACCCGTGGAGCGAGAGTGTGGCTTCTCAACGGGATCCGTTGATGGAGAAGAAGCCGTGGGGTTGTCAGGCGCTCTTTTATATCGCGTACTTCGAGTGTAGCCTAGATGAGTTCGAGCACGCCGACGTGTGCGAGCACAGCGAGGACATCATGGCGCATGCGAATGTTGTCTCGGTGATCCACGAATCGTACCTCCCATGCGATGTCTTTAAGGAGTGGATGGCGCACGCCAATGAGTGCGCGGTGCAGTTCATGATCGAGTCTGAGGAGGGCATCGTGGTGGATGGCAGCGACTCTGAGGATCCGTCCGGAGCAGAGGTCCAGTGCTCCCAGGCGGAAGTAGCATAGGGTTGCATGGGAGTCACGGGACATAGGCTCCATAGGATAGTAGGATAAGGAGGAGGAGGAGGGCAAGGAGGAGGAGAAGGAGGAGGAGAAGGAGCAATAGGAGGAGATTCACGAGGACGTGCCACCACAAGTTGGGCACAATGTAGTGCCTGGCCCATGCTCCCTCCGAGCTCGGACGACTAGGGGGCAAAGGCAGGCGCGCCGTGAAAGTAGCCCGCCAAGCGCGACCCAGCCAGTGCAAAGTGAAACTCCGGGAGTTGGAGGACGAGGGGGAGGAGGAGAAGCAGGTGGAGGAACGCAAAGGCGGTAGAGAAGGCATGAGACATGAGGATGGAGGGAGGGCGGTAGAGAGGATACGAGGGACAATGATGAAGAAGAGGATGGTGTGTTGGCCAGTGCTGTAGCCCACGTCCTGGACTCCTCCACCTCTTCCTCCATCATGGGCCTCGATCGGGCCCCCTGGAGCACCCTTGGGTGGTCCAATGAAGCGACCTGCAGGTCCTGGCATGACTGGTCGTATGGGTCCCTGCGCATCCTTCTCATTCCTGCGTGCGATGGGGCATCGCTCTCGCGGATGCGGTGTCTCGTGTGTGGCTTCTGGCCCCGACGCAGCAATGTCTCGCGCACATCCTTGTTTATCTTATAACTTATAACTGTTTGGACTTGCACTTATCGCATTCGGATGAATGGTTGATTCGTGATGAATAGAGTTCATTGGTATTCTAATACAATAATATTAATAATATATCGCATGATATATTATAATAATAGGGTAACATATTTAAATTATCTCTTTCATATGGGGGGACATGCCGCGTGCTGCTTACAGGCCCTGTAAGCAGCACGAACCTAGCTGTACGCAGCACCAAACCCCTGTAAGCAGCACCCCCCAATATAATTAATATGAATAGATTACCACCCAATATTAATAATAATATTATCCAATATTAATAATATTAGCGTATAGGTGTGTGATATAAATAATATATCAATAACGTGGTCTGATCTGTAATACGGAATACTGTTGCACATGCACTATCAAACGCGTGTATCTGCGCCGCCAGTTCAGACTTGGCGCGCGTGCGCTAAGTACCCCCCCCCCCCCGACCTCGCCTTCTAGTCGTTCAGCGGGGTCATGTCTGGCCTCCAGTGGGTGTGCCATTCTGGTTCAGGTGAGGCACCTCTTCACGAGGACCGCATGTATACAACGCGCCAGCAGGTTCTCCCGTCCATCTAGAGTCTGGTCGACCTTCCACATCGGCCGGCGGCGCTTCGTGTAGGGGCATGGACCCACCGGAGGATGGCGACGGCAATGAGATAGATGGCAACTCGACGATTCAGGGCATGTCGGAGGATGAGCGTGATGACGAGGATGGTCCAGTGAATCAATCATACGTGGACATCTTGAGTTTTGTCTGCATTCGTACGTGCAAATTTTGCCGACACAGTTCCCAGGAGGGCAAATGCTTTTGAGGAAATCAGCCCCGACAACACCTTTGCAATCTTGCCTAGTAGAGTCAGGCTGCGTGCTGGCTCCTGTCGCGTCAGGTATAGGCCAGCGGGGTCCTAGCCTAACTTAGCTGTTGTCTGTAGGAAATCCTGCCCAGGTGGCCCAGGAACGGCATCGGGAGAATTATGGGGATGGAGTTGGGGTTGGGCGTATCTAGGGCTTGAGGCAATTATGATAGAGTGAATCATGATTGCACGAGCGATCGTACCAGGGTCCCCGTGTGTGGTCTTGCGCTTTGCACTTGCCCCGAGGTTCCAACGAACTGAACCCGCTGCTGCAAGGGGCGTGGCGGCGCTGCAAGAAATTGCCAACCTGGCCCTGGACGCATGGGACCCCGCAGCAGGCCAAGGGCATGATTTGTCGGATCTGCACATGGTGCTTCGTACTCGGAGGGTTCCAGGGGGGTGGCGATGGACAGTATAAGGACACCGACAGCATGTACCAAGCTATGAAGAAAGATCAGGGTGGAACTCTCACTGACGAGTGGCTCGAGGTGCAGAAGAAAGCAATCGAGCACATCAATGCTGGGCGCATTGCCCAGCGCCTGAAAGGGTCCAAGCGGTCTAGGATCATGGAGGGGCTGGTGGAAGCTCGCAAGAAAATAGTCGAGATCGTGAAGAAAGAAGGCACCCGCGTGAAGGAGCCGGTGCGCGTTGTAGCCATGGACAAGTGGATGGAGAGACACCCGAACAGCAAACCGAAAGAAGAGGGCCACATCATCAAGCAACTGGTCTTGCCGGGGCGCGGCTTGACAGAGTGCGTCTGCATGCGAGTGCTGCCTGAAGGAGAATACGACGCGGAGATAGCAGTCGACATCTCGGTACATCCACCTAATGAATAGGCGTGCCATCGGTTGTAGTTTGGCTCCCCGATGGACATATAATGGCTCGCTCTCAACTAAGTTGAGAGCGAGCCATTACATTTCCTTGTGCACGGATTGGCCCGCTCGCAAGTTGAACTTGTGCGCGGGTCAATCCATAGAAGGGCAGCAAACCACAAGTAGCACGTGCATTACGTTAGACTTCGCTCAGGCAGTCATCAGGGAGGTGGTGGACGCAGGCGACGCTCGCATTCGACAAGGGCAGGAAGAAGTTCAGCACCGACAGCTCGCAGATGTGTCGACTTGCCTGGCAGAGGACACTGGCAACATGAAGCAGATACCACTACAACAACACCATCATGATGCTGGCGCCTCGTCTAGTGGACAGGCGGCATACGACGCAGACGACCAGAGTAAGGGCGGGGAGGGCGGCCAGGGTAGTGATGCTCACGAGGGAGATGATGAGTCGAGCAGTGATGACGATTGCAGCGGATTACTTGCAGGCACGTTGCTCGGATCAATGGCCGCCGCCGCGCCCAAGAAGGGCGCGATCGCTGGGAGATCAGTCAAGGGCAAGGCACAGACGAAATCAACGCCGAGCCCCTCGCCGCCGCCCAAGACGGCCAGAACAGGTCCATCGCCTCACGATTCTACTCCAGAGGTGGGCACGGTGAACAAGCCTAAGGGCAGGGGCAAAGGAAAAGTTTCAAAGATCCCAACAGACGTGGAGGGCCTGTTGTCGCACGAGGGTTTCCCCGAGCTGCTTGACCAAGTTTCAGAGACCCTCAAGATAATGGAGGGGGGCGTCTTCGAGACCAGCTTCGCTACAGTAGGAGATGTACAGGTTTTCGTCGAGGAGTGCGAGAAACTAGCAAAGAACATCGAGGCACACGTCAAGGAGCTCCGGTACCAATAAACTGTAGGATGTACCCGTCGCTTGAATAGTGCAGATATGATTAACCACTCTACGTTTCCTCGTCCACATCCTAGTTACCAATTGGGTTGTAATGCTCGTAGAATCGTAAAATACTGAACTAGACTTACACAGAACATTTATCCCGTCCAAACATACTCACGGGGATTCACGAGGAGGTAGGCTTAAGGAGGTCGCCACCCAAGTTTTAGGGTCTGATAGCTTGGGATATAACATGTTTGCGATCACTGGGGGACGTTGTCTGCGGGAAAAGGAAACGATGGAAAACTTCACAATAAGTAATATTACTCCGTCTCTTCAGACTCCTTATGATATATCAAATGCACCGTGCATGTCATGCATGTCGTATTTGTGCTGGGCTCAGTTGCCCCCTGGTCATGGCCGACACCGCGTCTGTCAGAGAATGTACCCTGGTCCCTATTGTCAAAGGCAGCGGCATGTACAATCAATTATATGTAATGCGCTGAGGCCCCCAAGAAGCACCCAAGAGGCCCCAATAGGCCCTCAATTGGACCCCAAGAAGCCTCAAGAGCCCAGAGGCTTCAATTGGACCTCAAGAGCCTCAAGAGCCTCAATTGGACCTCAAGAAGCTTCAATTGGACACCAGAGGCTCCCGTGAGGTGTATTTGTGGTGCACGCCCAAGCAGGCGTTCAATTCCATTGATACAAAGATTTGCAAGCGCCCGGCCACGCCGAAAGAGGCTGTGGATGCAGTGCGGAAGGCGAAAGGTAATGTTAGAGCAATGCAGTCGCTGTTGAAAGAGATTTCGAAACAAGATTTCGACACAGACAAATGCAAGGCTTTGATGGAGGCGTGTGCAGAGAGTCGTTTTCACATTCCTCTTGGGATCAAAGTGAAGCTCTTCGTCGGCGAGGGGCTCGATCTTGCTCGCTTCCGAAAGTGGGATACGCTGCAGAAACACATGGACCCTACCTCGCCGACCCATCCCCTTCACAGCAGCTTGGACGATGCCCATCGCATCAATGCCGAAATTATTGAACTACAATTGCAGCTCCTCGTGTCCAACCTCACAGGTGTCAAGCGCGAGGCCGATGTCAGTACCCTGGCGAAGATCCAGGACCTGTGCAAGCATATCTGCAGCGCCAACAGCATCCTGCCACCTATTGACATATCACTTCTGCAAGAATTCTTGCAGGCCGTCGATACCAGCGAGCCGGGCACTGGCATTGATGGCGAGGCCCAGGAGAGGCTCATCGCGGAGTTCAAGAAACTTGCAGCAGACGAATCATATAACAACCTCTTGGCCGGTACGCTGGTGTCAAGCAACATCATTCACGCGTGGAATATCCTCGACGATGTGGTTGCCAAGAAAAAATCGCAGAGCGTTGTCGGCAGGTCACTTTCTAAGTTGATGGAGTTGTTACGCAAGGCTTCGCACAGTCCGACGGTGTGGACAGCCGACGACGCGACCGAGTACACTGGCACCTTCACTGGCTGCGTGGAGGCAGTCATCAAACCAGATACCCCTAAGACAGAGCTGGAGTTATTGAAGAGGGTCATCAACGCTGCGCTCACAGCAATGGGTAAGCTGCAAGAGATTTGCCTCTCGCAGGTCATCGAATGCATGAATGAGCTGGCCACGCTGGGCAAGGCTAGCAGCAGCAGCAGCATGGCCGCGCCCGGCGCTCTGGAGCCCCCAACCTCTATCCAGCTCTTCAAGCAGACCCTCCACATCCTTCGTACGATTGCGATTGGAAGTATCGTGTTACCCAAG